CAATGGTCTATATATGTATAAATACTTTTATGCATATCTTTATTTCTTAGTGATATGGTGTTGCAGTATATCTGCTGATTGAATCTGTTGAGCTGGGCCCTCATCCTGGTATTTAACATTACCTTTTAACATAGGTGTTATCCACATTGTATGTACATCAAGACCATATTCATTGGTGTGTGTTTTGCTCATGACAAAGAGAGAGAGGCTGTGTCCAAATGAATATAGCACAGACTTGGTCCCTGGCACTCTGTGGGTAGAGATGCACAGGCTGTCTGTTTTTGTTTTGGTTTAATTTCTTTTTTCTCTGACTAATATCAGTTAACTTTTTTCAGTGTCTTCACTTCCCAAATCTTATAGTTGGTAGTGACTAGAATGCAGAAGGTGTTTGTTTCAACTCTCTACCGGTAGTGCTTCATTCAGCAGAGCAATATTGGGTTTGCTGTTACAGGCAGCATAGAATACTAGGAGAGTGGGAGTGTGATGCACTGAGAAATAGCTGGGTAGTCATCTAAAACTCGCTCAACTGCATTTCAGATGAGTCTGCAATGACATGACTCTTCTGAAATATATTTCAAGGAATCGCCAGAGGCTCCTAGACTGTAAACTTCTATTTCCATAGAACAGGAAGGCAAAATCATGTGAAAAAAATGTGTGCATGCAAGCACTGTGTTTCATTTAGCAATGGCTTCTTCAAGTAGGCAAAGCTGTCAGACTGGTGGGGTTTTTCTTTTTCCCTCCCCAGAAGATGTCTTTCACTGATCTGATTAGGTGGCATTACGACAGAGACCTGCTGCGGAGGGTTGCAGTGGTGGTAACCAGACAGGATAAACTGTCTTTCCATTAAAGTATGAACCAAAGCGCTGGGAAAAAAATGCACAATTGGCACCACAAGTGGCTCAAGTTTTATGAAGGAGGCAAAGCCTCTACCTAAACAAGAATTTGGAAGAATGAGTAGCCCACAAAACAGCGTCTTAGATGTCTGTGTTGGGCCATTATTGCTTGGAGAGTTATTACTGCTGAACATGTGCATTCACCTGGGCAGGTGAATGTACACCGTGGGGTCCACCGTGTGAATGTGCTGCTCCTCCTGATCTCCTATGTATCTAATTGATTCAGTTTAGCAATGACAAAGTTGTCTGCAGGGTTATTACCTTATGATTCCCTCTGTTACACATTTTTATAGGTTTTTCTATTCATAATAGCACTTGGAATTGCTGAATTGACATGAAGTTAGCCATCAAGTGTGTTTTAATGATTAATTTTTTTTTAAAGGCAGAAACGTAAGTGGCAATAGTTAGGTTTTGAGATGGAAAAATGACTTG